AGATTAGTACACTTATCCTACACTGTCCAGTTAAAAGGTTAGTTGGTTAGGTAATAATCCCTTGGGTCCAGACCCTCTGGAAACAGGCCAGAGGTTTCTCTTGCCCCACTTTTCTAATATCTGGTCCAGATTCCGGTTGGAAAATGGAACGTTCTTGAAGCTGGTTCTCTTCTTAGTCTAAGACTAAACAATATTTAGGAATGTCTTCATAAGGTTAGCTTATTGTTCTTAAAGGTAGGGAAGAAAGATGGGAAAAACACTAGAAGCTACAGCAATCTACAAAGCTATAAATTTATGTAAAAAACATAAAAAACTAAATCTGATGCACTATCATCAGCTCAGGAGCACTGATGTCCCCCTGTCCCTGCAGCTACAGGGCTGATGATCGGCTGCCTGATCTACCCTGATGGCTGGGACTCGAGCGAGGTGAAGCGAATGTGTGGGGACAAAACCGACAAATACACGCTGGGTGCCTGCACCGTGCGCTGGGCCTACATCCTGTGCATCATCGGCATCCTCGATGCCCTCATCCTTTCCTTCCTGGCCTTCGTGCTGGGCAACCGGCAAGACAACCTCCTCCCCTCGGATTTCAAAGTGGAGGATAAAGGTGAGTGCAGTGGGATTGCTCCTGTGGCAGCAATTCAGCCCCACAGGGTGATGCTGTGCGAGGCTCCCTAGAACAGAGGCTGGACAGAGTTAAAGGAATAAAGTAGGGATTTATTAAAAGGCCTTCAAAGGATACACTTTGGGCTGTACAAGAGTCCAGCTTAGGCTACACCCAAGATGGACCCCGGGTCAGGAGTTTTCACACTTATATAAATTTTGGTCTGTTTACATATTGGGGTTAATTGTCCAATTACAGCTTCAGGTGATGCAGTCCCATCCTCCCAGTTTGCTCACCTCAATTCGCTCTTGTTTGTATTTTTCGGGCCTGAAGCTGCAAGAGTTTCCTTGGTTCTCCAGCTGGAAAAGGATTGTTGTGTCTGACTGAGCTGTGAGGAGAACTTGCTCACACTTTATATGAAGTTGAGGGTTATATACTAATGCAGTGTATTAGAATCTGGAAAATATGAAAACTAAAACTTAATGTATCAAGGTCACTGCTGTTGCTTGGGTGGATGGTGGGTGGCTTCATCCCTTTCACAGTCACTCACTGCTCTGTAGGGGGGGAGAGCGAGCAGCAGGCAGAAAACTGATGGAGAACAAGGCAGGAGCCCAAATTCACACAGATTACCTTTCCCAGGCCTCTGGGGCTTTTTAATCTTGTTTTAAACTTACTCCTTTTTGAAAACAAACCTGCAAATCACAATCTTTCAGTTTTATACACTAACTCTGCAATTCTCTTTTTTTTTTTTTCACAGAAGAGGGAAATGACTGACAGAGCTGATCACCACGTAAGTGAAAACCCACAGGGATTTTTAATATTCCCAGCATCCCTGATGTCACTGTTGTATTGATTATCAAAGGATTGACAGCTGATTTTGGTTCTGCAGTCACTCTGGTTTTAATTGCAATTAAAGAAGAAATAGTCTTTGCTTTGCCTCCCAAAACTGGGAAAGCACAAACCCTTGCCAAGTGCAAAATAAAACAAGCATAAAATTTGAAGTCATACTCCATTTCCCAACAGCTGACTTACTCTTTCTATTCCCAGGGACATCCAGAGCTCTTCTTCCATCAGCCCTTTTCTTTGAAGTGACTCTTCTAGGAAGCTTAAACTTACCAAATTCTGTGGATTTTCTACAGCTGCTTTCTTCACCCATGGGGCCATTCTTGGCTCACAGCTCTTGTGGAGCTTATTTGATGGGAAGAGCCCAAAATGGACACAAGAGTTTTTCTGAGTCTACCAGCAAGAGGGACAAGAGAAGGATGGCAATTTGCTGCTTTTGGGGGGGTTTGTATACCTTCTTTTGAGGACATTACTTATGAATTAAAAAAAAAACACCACCAAAATATCAGTTTTGGGTTTTGTGCTTGTCTCCTGAGGGCAGAGGAAACCCTCTGTCGTATCCTAGGTTGCCCTTTTACTGGAAAAATACCATGACAGGCCAATTCCCAGCTGAGCCATGAATCAGTTTCCTTCTCTGAGCAACAATAACCAAACACAACCTCTGGAAAAGGGCACTTTTCTGAAAAAAAAAAACCAAACAAAAAAACCCCAAAAACCTAACCCCCAAAAAAAAACCCCAAAAAACCCCAAAACCCAAACAAAACAAAACAAACCCCAAACAGCAAAACAAGAAACCAACATGCTGGGCTGCAGCAGGCCTGGGACAGCACCTGCAAAGCACAGCAGATGATGCCAGTCAGCATCAACTCCCTGCACCACCCAATTAATCTGATTTAGCCTCATCTCCCATCCCATCCAACACCCCTCCACAGCAGCCCTTGGCACAGCCCATTTCTGCAGAAGACAAAGCAGCTCTTACCTGGTCAGAACCCCAAAATCAGCCTGTATTATAATTTTCATCTCTACTTGTTGTAGATTGCAGGTTCCTGCAGCACTCAATTCAGTTCAGTTCTAGCACGTATCTTCCTGTTTTATGCTTCCCTCTAAAATAAAGTGTTTGTGAAGGTTTCATTGATACTCTCAGCTAGGTAAGACAGCAGAGATATAACAGACTTGAAGAAAAATGTATTTTAGAATGGAAAAATTCAGCAGACTTGTTCTATTTTTTACTCTTCTCCCCTTTTTTAAAATAGATCACAACACCAGCAACAAAATCTTCACCTGCCTCATTCTGGAAATCAAAACTGAGTGTCCACTAGTGAAGCAAATTCCATCCCTGAGCCCCTGACTCAGAACAGAATTACAAGGGGAATGTATGAAGACTAGGGCTCAGTTATTAAATAATCTGTTTATTGTAGGACTTCCACAAAGGAGAAAAAAAAAAAAAAAAAGACAAAGCACCCAAGTAGAAAGAATAAAAATGTATTTTCCTTCAGGTTTTAGACTGACACAGCAAGTACAAATCCTTTAGTGTGAACACTTTGCGGCAATTTGGAAATGGAACAAACCCCAAGTGAATGAGCAGACGGTACAAGACTGAATCATGACAGCTGCTTTTGCAGGTCTTCAGCTCACAAGCTGGCTCTAGCCTTGGCTATCATGGTAAAAAACCCTTCCCCATTCAGGGCTGGCAGAGGAAAAGGAAGGAAGGATGGGCAAGAGCTCTCAACAGTCAGAGAGTGCAGGCTCCTTCTGGGAAATGTTCCTTCATCAGCCAGTCTCAAATAGGCAGGACTGGGAGAGCTTTCAAGACCACAGGAGTTGTTTGCCCTGCCAATCTACCTTCACAGTCAGTTGGAATCCATTACTGTCTGCAGCCCTCCTGTAACAGATACAGAAGTGACCCACAACTGGAAAATGCCAGATGAAAGGAAAACAAAAACAAAAGAAAGGGTTAACTCAGCAGTTTAAAACATTTTTTGGTATGTTACCTGCCTTTATTATATGCATAGAGAACCTGATCTACCACTAAAGGAACATGCAGCATGATTTGCATAAATAAGCCAAATCAGGCTCTGAACTGGAGAAACTGTTCAAGTGGATGACCTGGTTTGTGAGTGAATAATCCTCACGAACCACAATTCCCAAACACACACACACAGACACTTAACAGTGGTCTTGGCAGCTTTGGCAATGGAAATTGTCTTGGATAATCTGCATGGTCTCCAGCAACTTCTATCCTCTGCAAGCCACCACAAATCCAAAGGCCTGTTTGGTCCAGAGTAAGGAAGTGACTCTGAAGTCTCAATGCTGCCAAATCTTGCTTAGAGTGGGATGCACTGAATCTGTAAGAGGATGGGCTAGTCTAGAAGAAGCCATCACAGAACTATCAAATGCCACAGTGATTTAATTTTTAATTAAAATTAACCCATTATGTCCAAACCCCCTCTGAGAAGTTTACATAGAAACCCCATAGAGTACTTTTTACTTGGGATAACTCTAGAAAAAGCTTCTAATCCAGTATCTATGTGGAAAAGTCAGTTCTCTTCCATTTCTGCTAGCTCTCTTCTAGTGCTAATGGCCCAGAAAATAAAAGGCAATCCCATACTGGGAAGTTATTTCTGAAGGCCTGCACCTGAAACAAATTAAAAGAAATCTTTTTACTGCAACTTCAAGTGTTGATCTTCAATGTCCAGGGCCGCAGCATGGCTGTGATACAGGCATTGCAACCCTTCCCTTGGAATAAAAAAATGAATGGTCAAAAATGAAAAGTCAGAGTAGACTGCATCAGCAAAAGCCAATCTCTCATGAATACCACCTCAAGCAAGGCAAAAAAGTGCCAGTAAGGGATAAAAAACCCCAAAAACTTATGGCTCACTATAATGTTAAGAGTTGCCTGCAACAAGGCTCTCGCTGCAGGCTGAGGGTGCACCCATCTGTTTGCTGAGGGTTATACATTGAGTCAGTTCCAGCTTTTGCTTATTTTGCTTGTCACCTTTTAGTCACAGGCATTGAAGTAGAAAACATCACCCAGTTCAGAAACTATTCTAACTATCAAGGGTGCAGGGAAGGAGAAAAAATAAATGGACAGGGCACTTTGGAGGAAGAAATAAAAGATACTAAAACCTAGGTTTAAAAAGCTCTTTCAGAAGCAGCTAGAGCTAAATAAAAGTTTGTGACTGGAAAGCAAAGAATACAATAGACACCTAGAGAGTGATGGAATATTTCAAGGTTGTTGCTCTAACAAGGATCTGGCACCACCTTGATGCCAACTGTAACTTCTCACCCCATCAGTAGCTACTGGATCAACAGTGGAAAAATTGACTCCTGAGTCAATGAGATCTTCACGGGAAGGAGAGTTGGAATTTAGCTAAGGGAGATATGTGAGCACAGGTGAGCTCAAATTTGTCACACACAGTGCCTAACAGTGAGGAGACTGAGGAAAAAAATCTCTTATTCCAGTCAATTAGTCTTTGGTGAAGCCCAATCAAGGCAAAAACACAGATGATGCCCATTGGCTGAGGAGAGTCCCCATTAAGTCACACAAACAAACTCAGCAGAACAGGTTAGATTTATCTAAAATCTTGGAAGCCTTGAAGAAAGAACTCCACACTGAAAGTGAACAAGGAGGAAAATGGATCTGGAAAAGGGCAGCTGGGTGTGTAGGCTATGCTGTAAACCAGAGTATAACGTTGTAGCATTGCTTGGAAGCTTCTAGGAGTTAAGCCAGGGATGCCTGAGACACTCTGCTGCTGTAGCTCGTTTCTCTGGGATCAGCTCCAGCATGGGGAGTAAGAAGTCTGTGAATGCAGCTGCCTCATCTTGGGACCACTCGTATTTTTCCACCAACACTTCAAAAAGGCCCCAGGGCTTCAGTTTGGTGATGTGCTTCAGATCACCTGAAAACCCAAGACAAATGGGTTAAGTGGAAGACGTGGGAACAGAGCAGCTCAATAAAATTGGCTGAACAGCTAAACATGACAGAGTGAACTCAGATTTTTCTAATATCTAGGGCATAGGGAATACAAAGTGCTGGGGCATGCTGAAGGGAGAAGTCAATTAGATTGAACTCCCTTTTCTATCTGCTTTAGAAGCCGGTTATAGAAATGTACATCCTCAAAGGGTTCTTTTTTCTACCTCCTGCTATTTCAGATCCCCTATCAGCAAATGTTAACTTCATTAAATCACTAATTATGTTGCTTGAGATGACAGATGAACTGTGCCACTGACTCTGGAATACATGCAATGCATGGGGCACTGTTTGAGAAAGCAATACACTACTAATAAAGAAGGGCTTGTTTTTATAAAAAAAATTATTAAATTGAGTCAAAACCTAATTTTTTGACTCAATACATTTCTGGGGTACTGAGGACTTCAGGACAATGTTCTGTGCTCTGAGCAACATGGCTTATGATGCCAGGCACTATTTAAGGTGCCAGAAAAGGAGTCAAGCTGTCTAGAAAAGCCTTCAAAAGCGAGTTCCACCCTCTAGTTGACATAAATCAGCTAAATAAAACCACATCAAGTTTGACAAAACATTTAAGGTACTGTTTTTCTACCTGCTGCATTTCATCTACACCAAGATGCTGAGCACTAGGATGTAGGATGCTTTTAGGAGTAAGATAAGAATGCCTTACATTCAGCTGCAGTTTTACTGATAAAGCATTCAAAAAAACAAAGGAAATACTTAAAGATGCCATCTTTGCTGGCATCTATTTCTAACTGGCATTTCCACCAAGACACTCCTGTGTATTTGGGGCAAGGGATGAAGGGATAAAGTGATACTTGCTTTGTTTCCTTTTACCTTTCTTGGTGAAAAACTCCTTGGAATATTTTCCTGCCAAAATAAGCTTGCGAGGTATTTTCCCCAGAAGTTCTATGATCAATGCAATATGATCTGCACGTGAAAAATAAAAAAAAAAAAACAAAGACAATGAGCTTCATCCACACAAAGCCTCTCTATGCTAGTTTCATGCTCTGGGATACAAGGATAAAGACATTAAAAATTAAAAATTACCTTGGAGACCCACCTGAAATCAGATTACACTATGCAACAAAGGGCAAGGGGAAAACAAATAGGAGAATTCGAGGCACAATCAGTTTGAGACACAAGGTAGAGAATCCAGCAGCAAGAGGAATGCAAAACACCAGAACAAGAGCATGAACTTCGTTGCCCAGTGTTTTACTGCAGCGGCTTGAGCACAGTTGCTGCTGATTTGGATAAATAATCTTTTTGCAAGGAGCTTTTGCACTGCTGATTTTTAAGACAAGGCTCATTTTGAAGAGGCAACCATTTAAGTCCCACTTCAAAAAGAGACAAACAGACCTTCATCTCGTGAGTAATCCTCCCCAGAGTGAGGCTCAAACAGATAGTCCCCTGTTGCCAACTCAAAGGCCTAAACAAAAAGAAATGAGCACATTAAATCACTTCAAAACACTTTAAGATGTGCTGCAGGTTGACTCTGCAAATCTCTGTGGGACAGAAGCAAAATAGTGGGAAAGAATAACCTGCAAAACTACAGTAAACAGCTATAATCTTAAATACTCCATTACAGCCTAAAATGTACAGTGACTTTGCAACGCTTTAAAAACTGCATTAAAAACATCATAGGCACACCTGGGATGAATTTTGGGTGCAGGACCACCAGTTAACCACAAAGTTAAGGTATTTCACATGCTTAGTTTTCCCTTTTCAGAGTTTTGCAAAATAGCACCCTGTCCAAACTATAGTTTCTGGGGTTGGTTATTTTTAGTTTGTTTTGTTAAAGGTTTTTTAGTATTCTTCCCTCTCCCCAATTTTCCCATGTTTTCCAGTTAATCTCTGAACATCTGTCTGTAGAGATGAAAACACCAACATCTGCACTCATTTCAACTCACCACTCCTAAATTCTGTAACACATTCACCCCTTATGTATTCACTTGTACTCAGAACACTACCCCTGACCTTTTGTATTCTCAGTTTTCTTTATGAACTGCTGGTGCCAAGCAGTTAGATCAGGCACACTGTGTAATTCTGGCCACATGCTCTGCAGAGAAAACATGACCCTACTGCATTTTCTTTTACCACATTCATCAAAATCCCAACTTGTTTTCCGAGACAGCAAAAATGTCTATTTTCCAAGCTTAAATTACAAAACCCAAGCTTTGATTTGTAGAAGACACAGAGTGGAGACACATGCAGTAACTGGCTTGACTGATTTTTTTTTCATTGTAATATTCTATATTTGCCAGCTGTTACAAGAACAGCTTCAGCCTCATCTCAGCACTACTCAGACTAAACATCGATTCCAAACCTGCAGAGGATGATTAAAATTAGAAACTATACTGAAGATACATGTGAAATAGTGGTAGATGCAGCAGAAAAACTTTTTTTTAATATCAAAAGACATTGTGTTCAGAATTGCCTAGTTGTCCTGTTTTTCCAGAAAGCACGTGGCAAAGTAGAATCATATTTGAAATCTGTTGATGCTGGACAACAAAACTTTCAAAAAGAAAGCCACATGTGGAGAAGAAAATTAAAAAAACAACTCTGGTGTGGAAACCTATTATTCAGCAAGTCTGGAAGTTGAACACTTGTAAGGGACTTTTGCCAGTCCCTCAGCAGCTCAGAGGGCAGAGCACTGAGGAGGAACATCCCCAGCTGGCAAAACTCACCATGCAGGCTGTGCTCCAGATGTCAGCAGGGGTGTTGTACCCTGACCCTATCAACACCTCCAGGGACCGGTACTGCCTTGTCTGGATGTCTTCAGTGAAATGTTTGTGCTAAAGAGAAGAAATGTTTTACTAAACAGCTCAAGACTGCTTAGAAGAGGAGAATCAACAACCTGGAAGGCCAGAGTAGATCAAAGCTCATTACCATTACATTTCAGCTGCATGTTACAGTCTCATTAACTATTTCTTTATATTCCTGTAAGTGTTTACATGCTCTACATGAGATACTCCTACTCAAGTGAAACAGTCCAGCAACTTAGAGGAAAGCAAGCCACAAAAACAGAATAAAGGAAGACTCTGCATTATCTCCTGCCCAGTCCTGGTAGACAGGTGATGGTCCAGCTTAAAGCCGATAAGCAACACCAATGTCAGAAATTACCAGGCACTGCAAGCCTGACTGAAATTCTGAGTTGAGACTCATCTCTCCCAACAGATCTGAAGTAATTTGCCATTTTAGAAGCCAAGTAAAAAGATATATTTCTTCTATTTGAAATTTCAAACATTTGAAAGCAGCATAGCACAATCATCAAAGAATAAAACTTGCAAGTTTTATTGTGCGAGTCTCTTTCATGTGCTTGTGAATGCACTGAAATGGTCTGACAAGCTACAGAACCAGCCCATCAGAGCAATTGTTTGCAACTTTGAAGCTCTCCAGGAGAGTAAGAAACTCCTTCAGCCGTTTCACATGAGCAGATTTCTACATTCTGTACGTGATATGGCTCACAGCCCTATAAGAAGTAATCAAATGCTAGAGAGACACCCAAAGCATGGACTGAAATCTTGTGTTTAGAGAAGCATTCTTTTCTTTTTGTCTCTGCTTCCCCATCTTTTCTCCCTGTCATAGTTTCAAACTGTCACTGCTTTCACAGCCAGGTCTAAGGATCTGTTTTACAGATTATTTTCCATCTTGGCAAACTGACTGAATCTGCAGCTTTAAAAAGTCAATGTGAAAAGACTAAACTTACCACCCAGCAAGCGTTTCCTAGGTCAGCTATCTTCACTTTGAGCTTATCTGCATTCTTGGGCTCAAGAGGATTAAGAAGGAAATTCCCAGCAGCTGATTTTCCTAGAGGCAATGTGTACAACAGCTATTAAAGCTACATAGGCAGTGTCACCATCTGTCACCCAAATCCTATCAACCTCTCCCCAGCCAGGAAGTTTTTCTGATGGATCAGAACTGTTCCCTCCCTGATGCTTGGGTATAAAAATGAGCATCACTCTGTACTATCAACAACATCATTAAGACCCAACTGGTGTAATTAAGCAGAAGGATAAATGAGCATATGCAGCAGTGACTATTTCCCAGCATTTTTTGCACATCCTGTCTATATTTTAAAAAAGCCCCATTGAAATAAGGGCATTGACAGAAACAAAACAAACCTCACATTCCCCCTTAAGCCTTCCTAAATCTTTGAAGGAAGAGTCCCCCATGTTACAGCATCTTTCTGACATACCTGTCACTCACTGCTGCAACACAATTACAGAAGTTAAAGGATATATTGGGAAAATTGAATGACATGATGGAGAAAAAAAGTGTTAAGTCACTAACTGACATCCAGCTGTACTTCTAACCCTAAAATTTGGGAGAGTTTGAAGCTGTAAATTTGTGAGAGGGCTGTGAGAAGCAAAAGATATCAGTAACCTAGCAGAGGCATCCAGCAAAGTGCAGTTCAAGTTTCAAAATCTAAATTTCTCTTGTTACTTTTCATGCATATAACTCCCCTAGTGGTATTTGGGCAAGAAAATGCTAGAATACTTCTTTTCAGAAAGTACAAATTGTAGTTTTACCCTCCTTCTCCAAGCAGATATATATATCACCTGGCATGGAAACAAAGATGCAAAAATGGAGTTTTACCACTTTGTATTTTTAACATATACACAAGCTGAAATGTCTTTAAATTGCTGTACACTATTTAATCTTATTTTCTCCTAAGCCTACATGACACAGTTTTTCCACTCTGAAGAATATCATGTTCAAATAAAAGCATTAAAGAAGTTGGTTTTATTTCCCTGCACTGTTTCAGTGCACTTTGTTTATACTTTGTTTCAGGCTGCATTTTCTGGGAAAACATTTACACATCTTGAGTAATAGAGAAAAGCTACCTTTGCTCCATATTAAGAACCAAACTGTCAGAACACACTGAACATACCTATCCCTTCATTTAACAGCAAATGACAATCTGAAGGCTTAATGAAAATCACATAAGCAACACCTGATTCAAAGGAGGAAATGTTCCTCCACTGAAAACAAGGTGTTTTTAAGCAGTAGGAATATTTATGCATGCCAAAGTCAAAACTGAGGCACAACTACAACAGGCACCTACAAACAGCAAACATCTTGGAGTATGATTGTCAGGTTAATTACTCCTGGCAGGAAAACTCTCAAACAGGTGGTTCTACATCTAGGTTCTGTGCCTACAAAATGCACATTTCTATTCATATGATGAAGTGTTGTAAAAAAATCTCCCACATCAAGAAGCCCTTTTCTTACAAGGTTCCTCTTATACCTTTGTTGTCTGTCGGGCTGTTATTCTCATTCTCATCCTCTGAATGGATCTCTGTCCTGATGCTTTCCTGAAAACTGTTGATTCCCTGCTCACTGAACACCTGCTCTTGGTTGGATGTGGGCTGGCACACCATGGAATCCTCTGAGGCCAAGGGCACAAACGAGTCCAACATAGCTTCTTGAGGCCTGTTCTCTGAGTCACTGTTGTGCTGGCTGTAATTACAGTCATGCAAGTTCTCAGTCTTCTGTGTGTGAGGGTGATTGCCACAGTCATTGGCATTGTGGAGGTCGTCCTCAAGTCGTACAGACCCTTCATTCACAGAGTCTGTCAAGTCCGTCATTGGGATCACTCCGTTGCAGTTGATTTCCGATGCATGTTTTTCCACGCTGCTTTCCATGAGATTTGATTGCTCCTGTCCAAAGGCTTCTGCTGCAAGAGGGGAAAATGAGAATGTAGCAGAATATGACTTAATAAATAGCTGGAAGATGTTCAAGGGCATCCTGAGAGGTAGGGAGTACTCTAAACGTAACTGAAGACAGACATTAGCTCAGTTTGTAACAGGAGATTTTCCAGTCTCATCAGAAGGACAGAACCCACCTAAAGGTGCAAACACCTTTAGCCACCTCTGCTAAAGGTACTCCCCCTCCTCACACCCATGAATAAATGGACAACACTGTCCATGCCATGTTGGAAATGCTTAAGGTCCATACCTGGCTTTTTGCTGACATTTTCCTCTGGTGGACTGACTTTTATGATCATTTCCAGAGGTGTTTGAGGTTCTTCCTTCTCTTCAGGCTCTGTCTGTCCAGGGTTTGCTTCCTTCTCCATTTCTTCTATCTCTTGCATTCGCTTTTCCAACAACTCAGCCTGTCTTTTCTGCTTCTTTTTCAACTTCTTTTTCTTATTCTTTGACATTTTGTCAGCCTACACAGAAGCAAGCAGAGAAATTCGACTTAACATTTTATACTTCAATAAATTTAAAATGCACCAAGGTTTAATTTATCCTAGAACTGAGGAAATAGTCTGTGATGAAAATGCTGGAGACAGCTCCTCTCTTGGATAAAAAGTAGCTATTCTGGGTTTTGAACCACTTGTCTATGGCTCCTATCGATGCATTTTTGCCCTGACCTGAAAAACCTGCATTATTCTCCTAGTGAGGGAGATCTCTGACTCCAGATAACAGTCACTTTCCCAATAGACCTTGAGACCACCACAAGAACTCCTTATTCTGACAATTAATGACCTAATACCATTTACAAGTCCAAAACAGCATTGGAACCTGATGCCTATGCCAAACACAAATCACACTTTTTTGACATGAGATTACTTTCCCTTAATGCTGACTGAACTATGAAACAATGCAGGAGATACCATCAGTAGATGCATACTTACAGATGAAAGCTATTACACTTACTGGTTTTGGCTGTGGTGCAGTGCTCACTGAAAGAGAAAGGAAGATAAGTAAATCAGAATGGCTCTACTCCAAAACTGCAACTGCATTCTGATGTTAAGGCACATTTTTCCTATGTGGTTTGATAACACTTTAATAATATCAGCAATGTGATTTTGAAGGCTCATTTCTCTACAAAAATGCAACAATAAAAAAAATGATAAAAACATTAAATAAGCAAATGCATAATTCAAGTTTCAGACAAGGAGACTTGCTTGACTGATATCAAAGACTTAAACTTCCTGTCACGTAGCTTCATTTACTGCACGTATTATGCATCATACCCAAATGAAAATGAAAATTAACGCATTAAAATACCAAACTTCAGGAAGCTTCCTTAAGCTGAGATATGCTGTGATGAGTTCAGCTCAATATTAGCTGTTGTAAGATTAGGACTGACAGTGCCTTCCAATACACACTGGTTTTTGAAGAGTACACACATCTACAGATGGATATTCTGAGGAGGAATACAAGAAAATTTGCCCTCAGATCTTTAGGGATGTTTGCATGTCAAGGAAGCTGTTTCTTTACAATTTTTCAGACTTCTGCAAACTGACAACAGGTAACTCATCTTGTTGCAACTCTCATAAAATGCATTTCCAGCATCAAGCAATGAAAGGTTATAAACTTTTGAAGGAAATGTGAGAATTTTGCCACATTTTTACACCAGTTCTATATTGAGTGCATCAGCATTGTGCTACATAAGACTGACTTTACCAGTGCCAGATTAGCTGTTGTTAAAAGCTCCAGTGTGCATTTATCCTCCCTCTTGTTTTCTCACACAAACTGCCGTCCCCATCATCTGAGTCACAATTTATGACTAATTTCCCAATTTACAAAGGTAACTTACATTATTGTTCCACTGTACTCAGGAAGTTTTCTTTAGTGATGATTTGGGCATATATGGCAGAAACATCATAAATTTTCAGGGGAAAAAAAAATAAATCACCTGCAGAGCCAGATGGTGGAGGGGCTCCAGATCTCTGCCACTCTGTTGCTTCTGCAGCCAGCCTGCGAATGTACTGGTCATTCACACACAGCAGGATGTTCTCAGGCTTTATATCTGTGTGGATGATTCGACATTTTGTATGCAAGTAATCCAGACCCTGAAGAACCTGCAGGCAAGAGAGAAGGAAGTCAACCATCAGACAATCTAATTGAGAGCAAAGTGAAAATGCAAAAGTGCCTAGGATGGCCAGTGAGCCTGAAAGGGGTTTGAGAATACTCCAGGTTAGAGCTCGTGATCAGTGGTTACTACCCAGTTCCACAAAAAAAGAGATTTGCATGCACATTTTAGCTACTATTTAAAAATACTCAATTTGCCCTCATTACTTAACTTATCACAGGCGAAAATCTAATTTTAATATTCTACAATAAAATCACAGTTTCTTCTTCCCCTGCACCTCCCATGTAGAAAGGTGTTTCTTCTTAGGCAGCCACCCAATAGGGAGAACCAGCTTCTCCTGCTCTTTCCATCATTAAGCACCGTGCTACTGTAAAAAATACCTTACTTATGAGGAATGATTGAGGTAAGAAGAGGCTAAATGCAAAAACCATCATGGTTTAAGTGTCAGAAAACAACTGCAGAGGGGGCTTGCAGTATAGAAAGGAAGTTCTAACCCAAGAATATTTTGTTGCATGAAGGAGATACCACGGATTTTTAGCTTTTGTTTCCTCAGATCTGATAAGGATCAATGCAAGAGTTTTAACTGGGTCAAGGGGAAGAGTCAGTCAGAACTGGAACTTACCTGTTTGATGATTTTTTTGACACAAGGGAGTGGAAGACCCTGATAATTTGACTTGATGATCCACTTCAGGAGATGATGCCCCAGAACTTCAAACACCATACAGATATCTGGAACTGAATCAAGGAAAAACCCAGACATCCAGAGCCAAGGAGCTCCAAATTCCCAGGAATAAGGATTAAAGGGAATCCCCACCATTTGGGCACTTTATTTTAAAGAACCCTCACAGCTTGGAAATGCTGTCTTCCTCAACAGCATCATCCTATCCTACACAACAGTGCCATTATCTAAAATAAAATAAAATACAGAGGGATAGAGCTGAACAAAGGTCCCACAGCAGCACTAGCAATCTCCTGCTTAGAGTGGAAGCCAGCTGCACAAATATACATTAGTATTTACTGTATGTTTTGGAACAGCCTACACTTCTGCCCCAGGCAAAACTCGATGTCAGATCTCTCTGTACCAGCATTGCTTGAAAAGATAATAAAATTTCCATTTCGTAAGTAATCTTCAGAACAATAAAGTCACTTTCTTTGCCCTCCTTTGCCTCTGTACTAGCGAAACAAACTTTTGACAAACCTGGTTTTCAATTATATTTATATGATCTGCTTTTTAGCTCTAAGATCTCAACAGTTACAGTCACTCCAGTGACATATTCAGTACAGTGTCTTTGTTTTAGAAGCCAAACTTTCATGAGTTTATTAAGCTGCTTTTCATCTACATTGGCAGAAAGCACAGATTTCACAAGACTGGAAGAAATATAAGCTCAAATCAACATTTACTCAGAAAAAAAGCTAGAGAAAATGCATTATGGGTCTACTCTATAATCTACAGCTCAATTTTCTCAAGCAGCCCAGCAATTCTCACTGAAATAAAATTTAACTTATCTCAAAGTGAAAACAATGCACAAAAGTCCAACTTTGCAATTCTGAGGATCCATTATTACCACTTGCTACAAACCACTGCTGTGAGAAGGCTGTTCCCAGAACTACAGGCCCCTGTCAAAGCAATACACTCCAAACATCCTAACAATGCTGATAAATTACAAAGTAAGCTTAGATAAATTAGAAACCAAGCTTATTTTCAAGTTATAGATGGCTCATTCACTATTTTCAGCTACTGATTTTAACATGCTGTACCTGCTTGACTGAAATAACAGGTTGTTAACAGGCTGCTTGCAAAATTGAGAGGTTGAGATAGATGGGCTCTCCTACCTCAAAGGTACCTCTGACACAGCCACTTAGTCCTGATTCACAAATTGGTGGCAGAACATTAAAAGCACAACCAAGCAGTGCTGACACAAATTACACCAGACTGAATCATCACTCTGGATCTGAGCTCAGCAGGCAGTTCGGAGGCAGATCCTTCTACAGCAGGTTTTCTTGGGCAGGGAAAGGGATGCCTGGGCATTGCTTGCCAAAGCAGGGCAGCTGCCCAAGCAACTCCCATCTTTCTGCAATTCTTGGCTTTTATTCCACAAAAGGATACGAGAACCATTCACTCCTGAAATCTTGAAGTCATCTAATAACTGAACAACTCTCTCTTTGCTTGGATCATTTGGATCACTGTTGCGGACCTGCAGAGAAAGAGGTTATTTTGATGTCAGATCCACTGCACTGTTTACATCCTACACAAATTCTTGATAATCTGGAAATATCAAGCACGTGACGAATGTAAACTCCCCAAAATAGAAAAAAAAGAGTACAATATAATTGAGCCCAACTCAGGCACTCACCGATTTCAGCAACTTGATTTCATCCAGTGCTGTTTCTGTGTAGTGCTCTGCACTCTTCACCACCTTCATTGCCACAAATCTCCTTCCTCTGTGCACACATAGCAAGTAAATTAGGAACTGTTAATGCTCATACAAAGAATTTGCTCTCCAGGACTATCCTAAGTCTTTTCCATGCAAGAGAATTTATTTCATGCATCACGGAAGAATAAGGTTTAAACACTCAAAGACTGTATTTGAGTCTTTTAACAAAAGATTCGTATTAGTTATTTCTCAAAACATGAAACAATAGGTCAGGACTATAGACTGAACACAACTCTTCCCACAGATACAGTTTGTCCTGTTAAGTCCCTCCCACACACTTGCATGCACAATATCAGAAGAAACTCCTGTGCTACAATGTAGACAGCTAATGCTTTGTGTTTTTATCTGAAAGTAAGAGGATGTTTTTCTGCTCAGGTCTGTGCATTCCTGGCAGGAACACCAGCTGGAGCAGGAGTGCTTACTGGATGTCCCACGCCAGCCACACGGTGGAGAAGTGGCCCCATCCAAGCTTCCGAATCACGTGGTAACGTCCATTGAAGAGATCGCCTATTTTCACAAGGTGGTAACCCCCTGGAAAAACACAACAACCAGAGAACAGGTGTGGGGAACAAGCATCACAATCACTGGAGCACTACAAAATATTTCCTCAGTGAAAACACCTGACACTAGGCTGACCACCTTTGGAAAATACAGGCTTGATGGTAACAGAATCTTCCAGCAAAATATCAGCATTGCTTTTGCATGCTCTGACCCCAGAATGTGAAACAGGTACTGCACCCAAGAACCCAACTCTTTTCCTTCCAGTTTTCCTGACTGAAAGGCACTCTTGCCACTGAAAACAGGAAAGTTTCCTCTGCATTCTTCATCTCTCAAGCTACTGATCATACAGGGGGATTCCATTACAGAAGCAAAAACATGAAAAGCCAAAGATGGAACCGGCAGAAAGCAGAACAGAAAGAAGAAACTGTGATTTGGTGTTTTCATTTGCTCTATATTTTGTTTCTGCTCAGATAAACAGGGGAAGGCTATTTGCAGAACCATTTTTCTGAAGAACGGATATCAAGGTAATGATCTGATCTTCAAAAAAAAATACGAAAAGGATTTGAAAATGTTCCTTTTACAATGAAATCAAAAAAGAACTGAATGGCTACTTGCTTTTATCAATATTGAAAGCCCTCTGGCACAGAGGAAAAGTTAACAGCTTTAAACTTATGCATTGAACTCTGCAACTCAAATCTTGACTGGTAACACAGGGAAACTTGGAGACCACCTTCTCCATTTCATGTTGGCTTGAAAAATGCAGTTTCAAAACTTAAACAAAACTCTTAATGTAAGAGGGAGTCTATTTTTATTCTCTACAGCAAATGAGAAATGGAGGGGATTCCTTGATTGCACTGAAAATCCTGCATATTAAACAGGCAAGTGCTCACCTTTACAGTAATCATTTGGATCCTCTTGCTCATCATCATCCGATCCCAGGATTTCCTCCTCCTGCTCTGGAAGATCATTCTCGGAATGAGCAGCAGGGCCCCGGTGCTGGGTGTCAGGTCTGAAAGAGACCACACCGCATGTCTCACACACAGAGCACACCGCACGTGTCTTACACACACACGTCACACACCCACCCAGAACACACTGCATGTGTCACACCCACAACACACCGCACATGTCTCACACACCGAGAATGCACTGCATGTCTCACACCCAGAACACCACAAGTCTCACACACAGAACACACTGCATGTGTCACACCCACAACACACCGCACATGTCTCACACACCGAGAATGCACTGCATGTCTCACACCCAGAACACACCACAAGTCTCACACACGGAACACACCGCATGTGTACACATGTCACACCCAGAACACACCACAAGTCTCACACACAGAACACACCACATGTGTCTCACACCCAGAACGCTGCACATCTCTCACATTCTCAAGTCTGCAGCTTCCGCAGCACATGAGGGACTGCTGAGGATGGAGGAGATGCAATATTCAGCCTCCAGAAAAGCTATTTGCATGCCAGTGCTTTTATTCCTAAGCTAAAAGTGGACAGAAATATTTTTTTGTATACTAGTGAGAAATGCACATTAATGACCTAGATCCACTTTCATAGTGGAACCAAGAAAAGTCCAGAGAAGATAGATTTAAATTTTAGTGATCCCACCAAAATATTAGCCTCTGAACCCCTTCTCTTCCTTTCTCTAAAGCTGATTTATATTTGTTATGTTAGGTAAAACTTGAAAATTCAAATATTGAATAATCTTATTTTAAAGACTAACATCAGCTAGTTTCTACACTCTTTTTGAAAAAAAAATAGTTAACCAGTGTTTTAGAAGTTGTGGCCCTTTGTTCCTTTCATGTTCAAGGTCAAATGAACTTAATATACTTAACAGTCCTCATCCTTAACAGTCCTCCTGCTTCTAACACTTTAGAACACTAAAGCCCCTAATCTTGACATTTATTTCTCCTGCTTTCAAGGAGTAGACTGCATTTTTAGTTCATCTCTTCACTCAAGATCCAAAGTTTATTACAGTTGTCTGAACTACGCAGAGTGGGACAACACAGAGCAGATGTTCAGTAAACTCTCCAGAGAGCTTGCAACTGCAGAGGGATTGGAATGAGGCAGTAAGGTGGTGAAGGTTTTTCACTCCCACATTCATAAATGAAAGTGTTCATTTTATGTTTTTAACTTTCCACCAAACGTGCTACTCTGAACTCTTGTGAAGGCCATGTCAGCAAAGGCCATCTCCGTGCTCTCAGGCACTCAGGCTGTGCTCTCCAAATAAAACATCTCCCATATCTCAGCTCCTTCATGGCATCACACTGATCACAGTCAAACAGCTCATGAAAGGCTAATATCAAAATCAGGTAATTGATTTACTTTACTAAGCATTACAGGGAACAATTAAATGCCTACAAAGATTCAAGATCCTTCTGTTCAAAGCAAACATTTATAATGAAAACAATGCCTACGGACCATTTGCTTTGGCAGAATTTAAGGGCAAAGTACTGCAAGACATCAACATTAAGTTTTCTTTCGTCAGACGCATGATATTAAAAAAAGCTGGAGTTGTCCAAAGAAGTGGGCAGTAAACTTCATTACGGCAGTGACACACAAGCACAAGATAACATTCTTTACAGAGTTCTGAATTAGCTGAAGTTTCTTGTATTGAAACTATTGTTGCAGGGAAGTAGCAGATAACACCAGTATCTTCCAGCGCCCTCTTTCAAATTCAGCTCATTTTCCTGCAAGAAGAAGGAACTGCCCACCCAGTGGCTATGCCAGAAACATAGGCAGACCCTCAGATGCAGTTTTTACAGCTTAGTCCTGAGCTGGAGTCCTGCACATCCTATCAATGCCATACTAACTCATCTTAATCCACAGGAAAGATGTAGTATTTTCATCTGGAATAGTTATACAGTAGAATAAATGTTCAGCACTGACCTACTACACATGCACTCTGCTGAGACTGCACACATTAAATGCACTACTAACACATTCAAACTACAACCATCTTAAACATCATAAAAAGGGAGAAATCTTGCATTCCAATCTGATGATGACTAAATTTGCAGCTACTTAAAAATCCACAGCTCAAGTTCATTTAAGCAAGGAAGAGCTACAAAGGTCATTCCAGGCACAACCCCATCACCAGACATTTACTTCCAGTCTGTTGTCAGTAAGTCCTGCTGATTTTTTAAATTTAGGAGCAGCTCTGTGGTCTCAAACCATAAACCAAAGACTGCCAAGCTAATGAGACTTTTGCTAACAACCCTGCAGCTTGGTCCAGCCCTGCATATTTAGTATTTAGACTTTTTAGTCACTTAATTATAAGTCAGGGGTAGGAAGAAGGAAACCTGCAGGAGGGGATGCAGAAAGTCTCAGAGGTCAAAAAGCTTCTTTAAAATTCCTGCATTCCTTTGGGGACAACTGAGATGCAAAAAAAGTCACACATTATCCCCAAACTAAGAGAAGACAGGAAAGGCAAGAATTTGCCATAGACAGGATGGTTGAAGAGAAGATTAGATGTTCATAGACAATAAATCTTATAGATGGGGTAAAGAAAACAGGAACTGGACAGAAAGATTTTAAGCCAGGAACCTCACACACAGCGAGAGTAGTAAAGACTAATTCTCCTCGGTGTTGTTTCAGGATTTTCACTTTTTTAACTGCACAGGATGTAAGGGATTAAAAAGGACTCAAAAGAAAATTCCCCTTAAGTGGCAGTGATGCAGACAGACACATCACACCATTCTGCAGTACCAGAGCTTCTCAATAACAGCAATTCCATGCATTAAGAAGTTACTGGAAGCACTAGAGCCTGTTCTGGAAGCTTTCTGTGTCCCTCCTAAGGGGCTGACAAATCCTGCTGCTGGCAGTCTCATACATGACACACCCTGGAGTCTTCAGCTGAGTCTTTCATGGGGATCCAAAAGCATTTCACTTCCACATTAGAGTCTATGATACCAATTCATGTAAGAAAGCCAAATTCAGGTCACATACATCTCTACAGTGCTACTTCCTTTATGAAATCACCTCCAAAATCCATTCCTTTGCCCTCCTGTGAAATTTGTTTCATGTTATTACACACCACCCTGTTCTTCCCCTGAAATGACCGTGTCAGCTGAAGATAGAGACTAAGAGAGAATTAATCAGGGCAGAATATGTATTAATACCTAAACAAATTATATATATATACGACAGCACAAATCTTATCTGTCTGCTTTGCTCACAAAGACAGTACTCTAAAAGGCACAAAAGGCTGTTAAATACATCAGAAACATCCATATCTAGTATTTAGAGATGACAGCTGAAACAGCTGTTGTCAAAATTGCAAAATACAGATAAAGTATGTAAAAATTCTATACTAAATGATTGTTTGCACATTAAAAAGCAAGTGTTCTAGGGTACTTTTTATAGCCACCTCTGATCTACAGAAGAACACCGTGATCACCTTTTCCTTTTGCTCTCTCATTGTGCTAATTAATCATCAGAATGAACTGGATCTGCAGGGTCTCTCTACAGCTACATAACAATATTTTACTTAAGAAAAACAATGTGGAATAGCAAAGCTAAAGCAAAATGCTAAGTCTTCTACGGAATTAGTGTGAATCCACATCTAGAGAGACCCTCACAAAAGTCCTTATTCCCTGAAGAACTGCAAATTCACGAGACAAAATTAGAGAGGGGAACCTACCTGCAAGAAGCACGGCCTCCCATGGATAAAGATATTCCCAAAGACAGCCCAATAGTTTTCGAAAAAGCCATCAAAAATCCGACACCACAGTGCTGGGGAAGGAGGGGGACATCAGCAGCAGGCAGAGGGGCTGGTTCTCCTCAAATGCAGCAAAGCTTTGTGCAAGAGTGAAGGAGAAGAGGGATTTGCCTCCAGCACCCAGCTGCAGCTGCCCAGCACTGCATTGCAGGTGAAGGGCCGTGCAGCAAGGCTGGGGCTTGCTCTCAGCTGATCTTCCTGCAAATTCAGTTATGTCAGGGGGGTGAGCATAAAGATTCCTCCCCTCCTCTTGATGTCTACATGTCTCTTCTTCCCTCTAATGAAATTAGAATTTCAGACAGATACTTTGTTTCATCTTCCTGAACCAGCCGGTTTTATTTGCCTATTCAGTAGCCCAGTGGATTCAAAGCTGGGATGAAGACAAGGATCATGGTAATTATCAACAGAGCAACCCTTTTGATAGAGGAATTCCAGCACAATCACACAGCAGGGAAAAGGCGTTCAAAGGAAAAACAAATTTTCTGAAGTAATTCCACACCTCCCCTTCCAGAGTTACAAGAAAAACTTATCCTTTGTGCTTAAAATGACAAAACAAGCAGGAGGAGTCAAATCCTCTTTACAAAGTTGAACTGAGTATTTTTCACAGCAGCAGGTACTTCACATCATCTTCCAACAATGTGCAATTCCCAGTCATTTCCTGTGCCTGTTTATGCTGCTGGTTTATGTAAGTGATAGGGGAAACAAGTCAGCAACAATATGACACAGCAAGTAACAATTTAGAGATTTCTCTCCTGGGGGAGACTTTATTAGTGAAAGACACTGAAGCCGACCCTGCTCTTTTAAAACAAGAGGCCTAAAGAATTGTCTTAATCCAGTTTTATGTCTAAAATATTTTCACCTTAAAAGCTCACAGAAGTCTGAATATGCTTTTAATAGTTTAGCAGAGCCAAACCTCTTCATATTAGAAAAGGAGCTAAAAACATTCAAAAATTTCCACTGTAGACAAGATTTTGCTCCATGTTCACTGAAGATATCACCCAACCCCTGCAATGCACAGTAAGAATGGTGAAGAGTTGTTTGCAGGAGCTAAGATTCGAGTCACTCACTTGTTCCTTACAGAAAGTTTTAGAGCAATTTGGAAAAACACCATGGAATTCTCTTGCCAGTTTTTAGTGGAGCCACTTATCTGGTCCACACACTAAAAGTAAGGTAAAAAATGATTAAGAAATCTCACCCACACAATGTGGGTTCTAACAGGTTTGCAGAGAAGGAAGGGTGCCCTCTATAAATTACCAGACACACTCCAGCCAAGTCTCCACACTCAACTTCACCATCAAACTCCGGACACGTTCTCTCTGCTTCAATAACTTACGTTAAAAAAAAAAACAACCAAAACCAAACCACTTTAAATGAGGTGTTTGGTTCTCCTATTCAAGAACATTAGGAGTAACTTCAAAACTCTGTTTTGAACAGAGAAGATTCTTCCTTGTCCCTGAAACAGCAGAAATACTATCCATGCTGCCTATTTGCCTTGAATAGATACAAAAGCAGACTCCTTCCACCCTCAAGCAAGGAAAGCAACATTTAGGCCAAATCACTT